TGATCTAATTGAATCTCAGACATTATTTATTTTTTTCTTTTATTACTTTGGTGGGTCAACTGAATGTGAGTAAAATAATGATAAATTTATTTTATAAACAAGGAAATATTCATTTATTTATCTTAACTTGGCTCTGAACCTTTCTGCTACTTCCACCAAAGTCAGCTAAATCAAGGATGGTTCATTTGAAGAGGTTCCATTTGATGCAATATATATTTATTTGTGACCCATATCTCATCCTGTGAGAATTCCCTCATTTAGGGGAAAGGCATACTTCCTGCTCCTGGTGTTTCCTCTTATGTACAGGGTGTGCATTAATGCAACACTTGTGTCCTCTCTCCATCCTTTTGCTCACTCCTGGAAGGGCAGTGGTAGAAGGGGCAGGAAGTAGTAATTCAGCTGATTGGTGATCTTGAGGAGAATTGAAGATGCTTAGCCCTATATTTTCCTTTCTCCGTCTTAGAAAAGCAATGTTCACAGCGTACATGTTCCTGCCAAAGAAGAAAACGGGTCCCACTCCAGTGCTGCAAATGAATACATTTGTACAATTTTAAGGGGAAGACCAACTATCTAATTTTTAGGACCCAGTGAAAGGTGAAAATGTGACTCTCTTTGTTTAAAGAACAGGAAAAATATGTCATTAAAGGAACACATAAAGCGTTTCCTTTTTTCCACTTTCACTCTCAACTTATCATGGTGCTCTTTGTTTGCTATTCATTGTTGTTCTAAGTAAACTAAAAATTTTAAATAATTATTACTACGATTTTTTCATTAATCTTCGTATTCTGCAATAATAATTTTAAATAGAAATATCAGAGCATTTAACTCCTATGCAAAACCACCAAGATTCTCAATTTGTATTTGTTGGCTTATTCTTGGGGGAGGTGCCTCAAGCTGGCCATATGAGATAAACATTCCAACAACTAACAATAGAGAATGGTAGCAAACTAGAAATAAAGGACATTTTCTCAACCTGATTAAAGGTCATCTATTAAAAAACCAATAACGCAACTAACATCATTCTCATTGGTGAAAGACTGAAAGTTTTGCGTTTAGGATCAGAAATAAGCAAAGAATGCTTTCTCTCACCACTCCTTTCAACATTGTAATGGGGGTTTTAGCCAAGGGAATTTGGTGATAAAACAAAATAAAAGCCAACCAGCCTGGAAAGAAAGAAGTAAAAAAAAAAAAAAAAAAAATCTCTATTTGCAGATTATATGGTCTTATATGTAGACAATCCTAAGTACGTCACCAAAAAACAACTAGAAGTAATAAATGAGTTCAGCAAGTTTTCAGAATATAAGAGCAATATACAAAATAATTATATTTCTATACAGTAGCAATGAACAACTGAAATGAAATCACAAAAACATATTTTCAGTAGGATTGAAAAGAATAAAATATTAAAGAATAATTTTAACAACAAAGTACAAGTCTTGTACACTGTACATTGAAAACTACAAAACATGGTTGAAAAAACTTGGAGATATACTAAGTAGAGAAACAGCAACAGCTTAGGTCAAATGTCTCCCCTTCTCACCAGCCACTGGATTGAAACACAAGGCCTTAGACGGGGTGGGGTCTGAGAAAATTGATGAAAAACCTCCCTTTCTACAAACCCACAGCCCTATCTCACAGCAGATGGGTTACTCCCAAAAATTTTTAAACCTCTGCACTGGGTAATGCTCAGTGTTTTGATTGGAGCGGGGAAATGGTGGAGATTTGAGAGGTTTACCACTCCAGAGATGTGGCTTTCTGCTGGTCACCCACCATGCACACCAAGCTGCTGCTAGCTCACAGTGGGAACAGCCACTGCTAAGCCTGTCCAAAAGATGCCATGGATATATGCACTCACTCTTGATTCTTCCCAAGCTCCCATCTAGGCCCCTGCCTGGGTAGGGGGTGGCAATGATTATAGAGTGAGGAAGGAGAAGACAGGTGGGCTGGGGCTTGGGAGCAGTCAGGTGAGGACTCACTCTGGCAAGAAGGCAGGAGTGAAGACTGGGTGTGAGACAAGACTCCAAACCCCAGAGCACAGTTCTTTGTCACATTGAACTTCACTTGCAAAACACAAATTCAAAGATAAAATTGTTAAGAATTTTAGTGAACTCCCATTCACAATTGCTACAAAGAGAATAAAATTCCTAGGAATACAACTAACAAGGGATGTGAAGGACCTCTTCAAGGAGAACTACAAACCACTGCCCAAGGAAATAAGAGAGGACACAAATAGATGGAAAAACCTTCCATGCTCATGGTTAGGAAGAATCAATATCATGAAAATGGCCATACTGCCCAAAGTAATTTATAGAGTCAATGCTATGTCCATCAAGCTACCAATGACTTTTTCACAGAATTGGAAAAAAACACCTTTAACTTCATATGGAACCAAAGAAGAGCCCGCATAGCCAAGACAATCCTAAGTAAAAAAAAAAAAAAAAAAAAAAAAAAAAA